GTTGTTTCTCAACCAAAGTCTATAAAATTGTATTGATTGAAAATAATGTTGCTGTCAATATTATTTCTTTAATTTATCTAAACAATACATTTCTCCTTTTTTAATTTAATTATTGTATCTGTGGCAGGCAAACAGAATTCCGAATAAAGTCCGTTATTCTTTCTTTTTGGCAATTTTTACATAAAATATAGTATTGAATACAATTTAATCAAATTTCAGAAATATGATTAGCATTATTTTAAACTTTTTTCCCACCATTTTAATTATTAGATATCATTAGAAATCAAATAACAGTAAGCTTCCACAATAACTTAGCACTTTCCTCAATAATCTAGCTGATTTTTGTAATGTTGGCCTTGAGATGACTGCTAGCTTTCTACAAATTTTGCTCAAGTTTCCAATTTTTACCAAGCTCTTTGCAAGGCTTTTCAAGAGTGTTCCAATTTCTTCAGTAATCATAAATACAACTGTCATCTTCATGTTCCACAATTAGTTCCTTGATGTGGGTTTTTTTCAACATTTCACTTTCTTCCAATTTTACAGTCATATACTGAAACTGTATTATTCACTGTCTAGCAAGTTTTCTCTTTGTTTACAAGGACAAGATTTGGTCTAGGGACTTAGATAAATTGATTCATTTGAATATCAAAGTCCCATTGAAGTTTACATTTTATTTGTTAGAACAATTTATAGGATGAATTAGAAGTAAATGAGTCCATAAAAATCTGATGCGCTTGCATAAAAATGGTAAAGTGTCCTTAAACAAAAGATTATTTTCAACATGAAAAGTACCATTTTGAGAAACAAGTGGCCTTTCTGAGAGAGAAACTGAGACAGGCCCAATTCAGTAGATATACTTAGACTTATTATTTTATTTTGTAGTTTATCAAAGAGATTCTGAGTGTTCAATGCTGAATAACATATGTGGAAACCTAATGAAAAATAATTAACTCTGTGTGTGTGTGTGTCTGTGTGTTAGTGTGAGAGTGAGAGAAAGAGAGATAGAGTAAATGTCTATGTGCATATTTTTGTGTTTTTTTCTCTCTCTCTCTGTGTGTGTGTGTGTGTGTGTGTGTGTGTGTGTGTGTGTGTGTGTGTGTGTGTGTGTGTGTGTGTGTGTGTGTGTGAAACTGGGAGTGTTTCTGTCAAACTAATTTTGGAATCCTTTGTGGCTATATCTAGTAATCCAACACTCCACATAAATGACATTTACATTTCTACTATGTCATGTCTTGTTTGGCTTTCATAGAGTTAGTTTTACTGTTCTTGCTGTTTTACTGTTGCTATTAATAGGAACTCTTTTGTCATCATCATCATCATCATCATCATCATCATCATCATCATCATCATCATCAAATACAATAATAAATACTATTGGTAATAGTAAATTATATAAAAACAATATGGATGCAAAATCTTTTAATGAAAACTATGTGCCTGTATGTCTACACTGTTTCAAATTTCAGCTCATTCCATCAAGTAATTTGGTCATATTTACAGATTAAACTATTTTAAATATATAATTAGCCAATATAATTGATTCTAAATAATTTAAAAACTATTTTTTCAATGTGCAGAATATAAATAAATTTAAAAAATTATTCATTGATTTTGTGAAAAGAAAACCTTCAATTTTTTTTTCTCATCTTTTTACAAAATGTAACCATGGGAATAGTCTTGTACTTCAATTTGTATTTAAATTATTTTACAAAAATTTCTTCCAGGAAAGAGCCTTTTATTCTGTGACCTAACATTTAAATTTAGAACCTTTTAAAATTTTAAAGGTGTTTTTTATAAAAGCTTTCCAAAACAAAATATTATTCAACAATGTCATCTATGTTTTATTTCAATGCATTTAGTTTTTCTTAAATGTTTCGAATAAGAACATCTTATCCCAAAGGATATTCCATCTTATTTAACATTTTCTCAAATTTGTATTTAAATGACTTTCTTTTATACTTAAGGCTTCATTAAAAAAACTTTTATCAAAAAAAAGCTTTCATTTGTATTTAAATACTTTCATTTTCTATAGAAACTTTACAAAGAACAAAACTTTATCACAAAGTATATTCTATATATATTTATAAATGTCTCATCACAACATATATTCTATTTTTATTTATAAATATCTTATCACAAAGTATATTTATAGTGGCATGGGCCTTAGGGGTTAAAATGAACAGTTGCAGTACTTACATGAAGTTTGCAGCCTTAATTTTTCAAAATGCAGGGCTCAGTCCTATAACAACATGGCTAACATATATGGGCATTACAAGGGCATGCAGTAAATGATTTTAGAGGAAAATAAGTTTGCTATATATTTTCTCTGTGCTGCCCATTCACTAAGTCTCATAAGCAGAAGTGCTGTTGACAGTTGTCCAGAAGTAGTTAATTTCTTCTTTATAATGCAACTGATATATATATTTGAAAAAGTGGTGGAAATTAGTGTAGCATAAATCAGAAGATCTGGTTTAAGTGTAGTGATATACTTTTTTTTTTTATTGCAGAATGAAATTTTTAAAATGTTTCAGTAGCTGACCACATATTTGTCTTTTGAGATTTCTTCTTTGGAATATCAAGACTGATGACTCTGATTGCTAGATCTGTAGTTTTTACATGGTCGTCACAAAAAGGATGAGGTGGTAAGTTGGGTGTCAATTGGAGAGTCTGTGGAGGAGGTGGCAAGTTTGTATAAATAAGATGGTTAAGCTGAGGTACAAGGCAATGTATGTGAGTACAATGGACCCAACTAGTTTCACCATGACCTTTTGCAATTTGGAGTACCATGTCATTTGCCTTGATGCCTTGGTAACTACCTGTCCAAGGCAAATATGATATGTGGGCTGTGGTAGAATAATGTCTATGGAGTAAGACCTTGTCCCTGACCTGTATCGGATCTTTATAGATGAGTCAGTTCAGATGTTTGTTCATCTTGTGGTCAGCCTCATTTGTTTGCTAGGGCAATGTGTTGGTGAACTTGTCACAGCAATGTATTTATCAGAATGTCATAAGCACCAGGGTCATCACTGGTAATGTTCCAAAGGGATACCTTGGGTAAACCAATGTTGGAATGCTGATCGGTGATGGCATAATGCAGCAAGAGGCCATTTGCGCTGTTGGTGGTGGCATTCATAGATGACACAACAGAATCAAGGACATCAGTCCATTCACAGCTCCTGTGCTTATAGAAGGATATAGACAGCATTCTTTAATGTGCGATGTTGTCAATTGATGTTGCCAGAACTTTGTGGAGTCCAAGGACAGTGAAAATGGATGCCAGGTCAAAAAATACAAGGTATCTCCCAGTGACAGAAGAAAAATTGGTAGACTCCATGAGCCGCATCAATTGCACGATTTTGGAATTATCTCTTCCTAAATTCTGACACCACCACTTGGGGGAGCTATCCCTAAACTATATATGCTTGAGACAACCCTTTCTGTCTCTCTTTCTTTCATTTTCAGCAAACTGCAACCATGTAAAGCTCTCACAGAAGATACACATTCCCACTTGAGGTAAAATGGCATGAACATTATACACACACACACACACACACACACACACACACGCGCGCACACACACACACACACACACGCACACACACGCACACAAGTACATACATGACTCATGCATTTCTTGGAACACAAGAAATGTAAAAGAAAACAACCAAGACTGATATATTTTGATAGACTCATTCACCGAGTTTGGCATATTTGTAGTGGACTTTATTTCAGGAGAACACACATGTTACATTTCTCAACATGTATTAAACCCACAGTCCACTACAAGATTGTTGACCACCGGATTTGCCAGTATCCGTTGCAGAGATCAAGAGATGAAAAGTATTTGATTCCCTCGCTGATCTTGTTGAAAATAGAATCGATCGCTGGCATAGGATATGGGTATAAATCTGTGAATATCTTGTTAAAAGTCCTCTTTTAATTGGCAACTACGCAGATTCGACCGTTTTTCTTTGGATGGCAAAAACAAGTCTACTGATGCCTTTGGAATCGGTGCAGATTTCGAAGATCTCTTCACTGTCCATACGTTGAATTTTGACATCGACTTCAGTTTCTAGCGCCTGCGCGATCGGGTGTTGCTTTTGGCTGCAGAACTGGTCATTAGTGGGTATGCGCAATGGCTTAATGAATGTGCCCTGGTTGTCATTACCGACGATACTAGTGTAGTTGATAAGAAGGGCTGTTGTGACTTTTAGTTCATCGCAGTTGGGGTGAGAAGGGAGGACTATGCCTATGTTTTTCCTAAGCCAATACAGTTTTTGCCCTAAGGACTGGATATTAACTTGGAGTTTCGCCATAGACTGTCTTGGCTGTCTTGTGGCGGTCTGAACTCTATACGCAGGTGTGAAGGTGTGAGCCTTTTTCCGGATTAGTGACTGAGATCAGGGATGCCGTATGGGTTATGTCATTCGATGGCAAGGTTCAGTGGAATTCGACTGCGGCGTCTCGATTGCGTATAACGTTATCGTGACATAAAACGTTCTGGCCGACAAAGATTGGTATAGTGGCATTAGTGACTAGTATATTCTTGAAAACTGTTTATGCCTATTACTTTAGGTTGTTCTGTGACCGTTGTGTGACACTATTGAAAAGGCGCTAGTAAATTGAAAAACACTAAATTCCGATAGACTGAAGATATACCGATGACCAGACGAAGAAAAATGAGAGAAAAGGATATTTGTTTTTTTATTGGAAAAAAAATATAAGAAGGTAATTAAATTTCTCGTCCGCCGGAGAGGTAAAACAAAGAGTCCATCTGGTTTCGATGAGCGATGAGCTATTCTGGAGGTCCAAGGGCCTTCCGGAAAGAAATAGGTAATATTTTTTCGACCATTGAGCGACAAAGAGGAAGACGGAACCCAGACCGCGAACTCGGTCGATAAGGATTAACTTTTAAAAGCAGACGGGTTCCCAGAAGTACATATGTAAAAGAATGACAATTAAATTTTTCGTCTTCCGAAACGCGATAAAACTTCCCAAAATCAAGGAATCGTTTCCTTTTTACCACTTGTTGGCCAAATGATTGACGAGGAGATAAAAATGATAAATTCCATATGCGAAAACGACCACACGCAAAAGCATGATAAGAAAGAATTTTGAACGATAATTAAAATTTGGCCATTGGAATAGATCACGCCTAGCCCTTGGGGGACGGGTTTGGTCAAGTGACCAAGGAGGAGAGGGATCAGGTGGAATTTCAGGGAAGGCGGAGGACTTTTCACACCACTCGGGCAGTGATGGTGAGAGGCACTCAGACAAAGCAAGAAGGAGAAATCCCAAGTAGAATTCCAAGGAGGGAGATGGGGCTCCCCCATACTGGACATTTGCAGATAGAGACCTGATTGGTTTGTTTGGGAAACGCTGGCATGTACAGAGCACGTCATGCCACACCTCAGCCCTTGCGCATGAGTCCACAAAAACAGAACGCCGAGTAGATTCATAGACAGAGACGGCGGTGACACCGCGGACAGACTACGGCAAAGAGTCTGCAGAGAGAGCAGAGTACCAGCGCGTCGCCTGATCTCATGTGATTTGCTGCCCTGAAGAAAAAGCCTCCTACTTAAAGCCTTGTTCCAGAAGTTTCGTTCCAAAATTCTAACAACAGTGTGTCGTGATAATCGGGAAGGGTCGATAGTTATTTCATTGAAAGTATAGCCTTCTTAAGCCATCAATGACTGTACCATCAACTTTGTATCAAGGAAGTGTATATGAATACTTTTTTTCTTTTTACCCAACTTATTTTTTCTTCTTTCGTTTGATTTTACTCTGAGCGAATCAAACCAAGTCATCAATTCCAGTCGACCATTCGGATCAAGCCAGTCCTGCGATCAATTAATCACAACGTTGAAAAAAGGAGATAAGTGGAATTGTTAAAGACATCCGCTGAGGCGTATAGAAGGAGAGGGAGGATGACTTGTGACTTAGGGTTACGGTTAGGGTTAGGGGCGACGGCCTTTGGCGAGATATCTCTTGGAGATGGGCGGTCGCTTTCCATCGAAGTCTGTAAAACCGGACCAAGATGCCGTCCAACTGCTGAAAATATCCCTTTGATGGGTTTTTAAATTCTTTTTAGGTTTAAATCGGCTCCTTTTTTTATGTGCGGTGCCTTGCGAAGTTGATGGAATTTTAGTTTAATTTTCAAGGTGTTCGGAACGTTCATATCCTGCCAGTGGTGGAAATTAATGTAGCATGAATCAGAGGATTTGGTTTTTGGAAGAATTTAGCAATAAGAATAAGATTTATTTTAAATAGTTTTCTATTATTTTTATTTCCTAAAAATAAGAATTTTTTATTATTTTCTTTTTTCTATAAATGGTTTACCTCTCCTAGCCAAGATAGCCAAGATTTTTCATGTTTCTTCCAATGTCTTTCTTTGATATATATAAATATACATCTTGACACAGTCCTTTATTTGTATTTAAATACTTTTATTTTGTATAATCTTTTCCAGAATTAGTTCAACATAATTTTCCACTTACATTATGTTTTTATTTTCTATACGAAACTGAGTCTGTGTTTTAAATGCATAAGTATTGGTTTTATCAATGACAACATTTTCTTTATTTTTCAGATTAAAGACTGAAAATTATTATTTATTTATATTCAGACTAGTATTCCTTTACTTTTAATTTTAGTTGCTTTTTTCACAGCTCTCAGATCATAATTCCAGTGCAGATTGGAAATAGAGTTACTTACAATAAATTTATAATGAAAGAAATGCTCATCAAAATGTTAATAATATTGTCTTATTTATGATTGAAATCAAAATAAAAATATGTTTTTGGTCTTTTGCATATCATCAAATGATTTTAAAAGAAAAGTTATTTGGCTCTAAATTTATGAACTGCTACTCTTGTATACGTTGGAATTTTACTTGCAGCTGCTATTATGTTTTCTTTTGCTTTGTAAATAAGAGAATGAAAATTTCTTGCTATGAAGAATTTATTTTTAATTAAATTAGTTGTATAACTCTAATCTTTTGCAGATCTCTACTTTCTTCTGTCCTTTATTTGATTTTTTTTAAAGAGATATAATTAATTAATCTTATTTATTTATTTCTCCCACTTATGTTTATAGCCATTATTTATGCAAAAGATAGATAGATAGATAGATAGATAGATAGATAGATAGATAGAATCAAAAGTTAAATTAACTGAGTAAAAACAAATGATAGTAACTGGAGAAAAGCTATTGGGTTAAAACACCCATTAAAATTTAGCTCTTTTGGTAGACCCAAAATTTCATTCCTTTTTTTATTCCATTGATAAAAATAAAATGCTTTGAGAAGGAGTAGAAATATTCTTTAAAGACAACCTGTGTACATTACAATTTATCTTGCATTCAATGATGAAAAAGTCTGACACCAATGTATTTGATATGAGCCATGAATTCTTATCAATTCTAAATAAGTACATTGAAAAATCCCTGTAAGAATAACTATAGTCTGTTCCCCAAAAAATTTATTTTGTGGAAATCTAAGTTTTTTATTTTGTAATATCATCATCAGTTTTTGAGTCTCAAATGTCACCTTCAAGCTGAATTACAGCATTTATAATATTAAGCAATAAAGAGATTTATCTGCTTTGGAATAAAAAAATTTGAATGTCTATTTCAATAATTTCAGCTCACTGATTACCAAATGTCGTTACTGAAGAGATTACAACAAATTCATTCATTGCCTTAGGAAACAAGAACAATGCCAATGATTATTTTCTTATATTAAAGATATTAGATAAATATTACATATCTATTGATGATAATGTGCATTTTTTAAAATGAAAATGTCAAATATCACAACAGATGTTAATCAAATGTCTTCCTCAGAAATGCTTCTCTATTTTCTTCATTCTCTTGCAATATTGTTTCTCTTTTTTCATCTTTCTGTACATATGTTTATGTGTATGTATTCTACAATATGTATGTGTGTGTATATAAATATATGCATGTACACAATATTAGATTTTATTATTGTTGTGGCCTTGTTAGGGGTCAGAAATAAAGACACAAAGAGAGGAATTGATTTAAACATATATATTAACGGAAACAGTAATACAAACGTATACAAACGAGTGTTACAGCAAGAATGTTCAGTCCGACTGTCAGAGCTGACTGCTGGAAACTTCCCTCCCAAAAAATTAGTACCTGCTCCTATTTATAGCTGGGAGATCCCATGCGTGCATGGGTAAATTACCATAACAATTATAGAGGACCTTATTTTCACAATAAATCTGGTAAAATTTTCATTATACACTTATATTTATATGAGTGATACAATTTGTGAGTTTGAGCTTATAATAACTATACATATTGAAAACTACTGATAATAACTTCTTTCAGGTGTATAATTCTTTTTACAATATAATTATTTATTTATAAATAAATCCAAAAGGTATAAGATTTATAAACATATATTTGATTAACACAATATCTTATATAACTGAATAAATGATTTTATTATTTGACATGTTAATATGGGCACCTTCATATTTTATAAACATAGTTTTTTTTCATTCATTCTTTTTCATTCATTTTATTATTAACTTCTCTACTGTTTTGAATTTAATATTACTTGCAGCATTTTTTATTGCTTTCCAGGTATTTTTGCTTCAATATTGTTTTATATTTTTGTGTACAACTCTTTTAAGGTTTTCTATTTGGTTAATATCTGAAGAGATTGTGAGTCATTCCCTTAATTTGGTGTCTTTGAAACCTTTTTTAACAAGATGGGCAACTTTTTCAGAATATGAAAGAGTATTTTCTTTATGAATATAAAATTTTGCATAAAGTTTCTTGGTTATGGCATATACTACTCAAAAATATTTTGTTCAAGAATAATTCTCTGCATTTATCTTGACACCATCATCAATTTTGAAGGGTCCTATAATTATAATGCCTATTGTACTAGCCCCAAAATATGAAAGACCCAACTTCTAGCCCAATCATCATGTCTTGCCAATGTAGCTCTATATTCATCTCTAAAAATTTAGTTTTACTTTATATCTGAATGAAATTTTGTTTAAAAAATGCAAAATCTTTCTGAAAGGAAAATCATTAAGGCTTTGTCTTAAAGTAAATCGTTGTTGATATGTTTTCTTTCACTTTGTGAACAGCCAAAAATAAATGGTCAAGAAATTTCCTTAACTTTTTTTTTGATAAATGACCAAGAATGACATTTCAATATAATTTGGAACCATTTATTTTTCATTTCAAGAAAATAAAGGCAAAAGATAGATTTCTATCTAACCAGTCATTATCAATTTTGTTGGTGTCTTGGTTTGCATATATATATATATGCAACAGGCCAATCTCTCATTGTCTCAAAATATAGAGAAACATACTTACATTGATATAGATATATGTAGATACAAGTAGATATATTTATATCTACATATCCCACTCTCAGATGTCATCTAATATTACATAATATTCAGAAAAATAATGATGAAATGTATGATTCTCACCTTCATGCAAAGAAAAAAGTAAAGTCATAAAAAACAGAAGTAACTCTAAAAACATGCATGTAAATAATCAATATCTGATTGAAAATAATCAGAAATTGTAACTGATTATCTGAATATTTTGTTGGGAAACATCATCCTCAGAACAAGTCAATTGCATAGATCCTCACATCTTTTCCTCTTTGGGTCTCAAAATTTCCCATTTCACCAGATAACTTCAGATTAACATACTGTCTCTTCATATATTTGCAGGATATATGTTTTGAATGAGCAACCAATGTCAGTGTCCATATTTGGATAAGTCACTGATAAGCTCATAGAAAACAAGTGTTTATAAAAATGAATCTACAATATTTCACATAGTATTTTTATGAAAATATATTTAGACATTTTTTTCATTGTAATGTGTGCGTATTTGCACATACATATTTATATACTAATGTATAAATCCCCATAATTTCACAGCCCTGATGAAATCTTTGAATTCAAGTTAAATAAGTAAACAAAATTGATAAAAGTTCAGTGTTTGTATAAAACTTTTCAATATATATCTATAAAAAATTCAAGAAAGTAAAAAGGTTTTCAGAACATTCAACAAAAATATTTCTACAAGAAGTTAACTATTCATATGATTTAAATTGTGTTTACATATATGCATCATGGGCATACCTGAAAATGTAGACTTTAACTAATCAACAAAGAAATGAGACAACAAAAAGAAAGCTTAAATTGAAAAATTTAGAAGTTATCAAGAAAGAAGAGCTTGAAACATAATTCATCCACAAAACACAAAGCTACACAGCAAATGCTTTCATTGAAAGACAGAAATGGGAAATTATAAATGAAAGGTAAAATGTTACTAATGAAGGCAAACATGACTGCTTCAAAAATAAAAATTCTTATGCTGTTTCTGAAATAATAACAAATGAAATAAGTTTTGTGCTTCAAAATGTGAAAAGGCATCGCAGGAAGATGCCATAATATCAGACCTTTTTAATTGATGGATTCAATGTGTGTGCCTCATTCCAATTTTGGTAATAGTTTCTGTTTTAGAAAAGTTCATTTTGAGTCCTATTTCTTAGAATACTTGGTAGAGGATGTTCAGTTTTTGTTCATGATCATCCTGTCCCAAAAGAATACATATGTTGTCAGCATAGCCCTGCTCTCATCATCAGTATAGTAGACTCAGGGATGAAAGCAGGATTATTGGCTTCTATAAGTTTACATCTTTCCACATCTATCCTTGTAAATACACATGGCATAGTCTAAGAAGAGATTAAATAGACTTGGGTCTCATTTCCTCCTTGTCATACAAATGATGATATGTGAAATGTTCCCATATTGAGGTCCTCACAAGACATTTAAGATTTTGTGAATTGAAAACTTTCACTCTTAGATGATGAAATTCAGTGAATTGGGAGCTTGGGAGGTGGTTTCTAATGTATGAAAAGAGGAAGTCTCCATTAATATGGTAATATGCTGCTGTGAGATCAACATAACAGGTATGCAATTTCTTATTAGAAAGGTATGCGACTTCCTGGAGTTATTTGATGACATATATGCCATCATTGTGTCCCTTAAACCCAAAACAAAAAGCAAATTGGCTCGTGAATTGGCTTTCATAAATGATGAGTGTCTGATTAATATAATGTTCCTTAATACTTTCATGATAATGAATCCATTTGTGATACCTCTGTATGTGTGAGGGTCTTGAGGGCTACCATTTTTTAATATGCAATAAACCCAACCTTTGGATGATGCATTTCTGATTCCAAGCTTCCTTCATAAAAATGGTGAAAGTAATCTATTTACAAATGTTCAACTTCAATATCTAGTAATGCGTTATTATTCCTTAGGTTTTTAGCCTTATTAATTTCCCCATCAGTGGGTTCATTATTGTTTATGTTTAGAGATGGACTTTATAATGATTGGTTGCATTAACTATGCTCCCAAGGATTGAACTCTTATTCTTTGGCCAACAAATATTAATGAATTATACTGTCTTTCCTGCTAATTAAAAATAAGCCCACTCTTTTACATAAGAACTTCTAATGATTTGTTCAGATGAGGGAAAATTCCTTTGCCTAGAGAACCTTGCAAACTTTGGCCTGGATTTTGATGCATAGTGATTTAATTGTTCACCTTGTGCTCTTTTGTTATTCCTGACAGTGACATTACTAAGGTTTTGAATCTTGTGGATATATTACCAACAACACTGGGTGCGCCACACTTTTGGCCTTGTGCTACATCTAAGATGGATTTCATCAATTTGACTCAGTTCGGCATCTATTTGGCCAACTTTCCTCACCTCAAGGTGACTGAAGTTGCAAGGGTCACATAACAGAGGAGTAAATCTAGAAAGCATTGAAGAAAGTTGGGAAAGATAAGACTACAAGCATCAATAATTTCCCCTAGGAAGTGCACTTGGGACTGTCACCCATGTTTGTCCCCTTGCAATACAAAGGGTCGAACAATCATAGAAAATATCATAGAAGTAATTAAGCAAGAAAAATTCAAGTCTGCAGGACACATAGCAACAAGGAAAGATAACAGATGGGTTAAAAGGCTGCCTAATTGCAGTAAAAAAGATCTGATAGAAGATGGAGAAATGAAATAGCTATTTCCTGGTGAAACATAACAGAGAATAGCATAGTTACAATCACCATGGAAGCATTTGAGAAAGTCATTTGTTTTACAGTGGCTTATTATTGTTATTTTATTTTCTTTGATTTTTGGTGTGTACACATTTCTTTCCAGGTCCCGCCCAGAGACTTAAGGTTAGAAATGGCATCATGACATTTTCCACTGACCAATTAAAAAAAAACATAAATGAATAAACATATTTTATATAGATAAAGCCCTTCATAAGGTCTGGGCTGTACTCACGTGAACAGTTTTTTATATTTCTTTAAGGCATGGACTTTCAGGAATCCCTTCACTGAGTCTACTGGAATCTTTTCTAACCAATCCAAGGGCTCCAACTACAACAGGAATTGTTGATGCTCCCATGTGCCACATTTTTGAGATTTCGATTTCAAGGTCCTTGTATTTTGATAGCTTTTTGAAGATCTTCAAAGATACATTGTGGTCTACAGACACTGCCATATCAATAAGGAGGCACTTTTTTTGTTTGCAGTCTCTAATAACAATGTCTGGTCAGTTAGCTTTGATTGTTCTGTCTGTGTGTATTGTGTAGTCCCATAAAATTGTAACAGATCCTATCTCTGTAACCGGGTCTGGGTGGTGTTCATACCAATTTTTTTTCAGTTTCCTTCCTGTAGAAGTTGCAGATTTTCCAGTGCAGACTCTGTCATTCTGGGTTTTATATTCAGTGGGTGCCAATACCATGCAACCTGATAGAAGATGATCAATTGTTTCTGAATATTTATCACAGAATCTGCATTTTGGGCTCACACAATATTTTAATATGTAGGCTTGATAATTTCTAGTTAACAAGCATTTGTCCTGTGCAGCAAAGATAAAACCTTCAGTTTCAGCTTTTAACCCTGCACTAAGAAGCCACTGATGAGTATAGGGTTTGTCTACATCAGCTTGTTTGGTATGGGCAGAGTATTGGCCAAGAAGTGGTTTATCCTGCCATTGTTACTGTATCTAGTGGGATGCATTTGCTTTTGGTTTCTTTTTTAAGTATTTTGCAGCTTCAGTTGATGTATTATGCTTTACTTGTATTTCTGCACCCATTTGAAACTCCATTTTGAACTTGTTGATTTCCTTTATTACAGAATAAAGACACTTACTACTTTCATGTTTTTTGACACATATCATCATCCAGTCTTCTGTAGTTTCCAGGTATCTTTGAAGGCCAATTGTTGTAGTTTTGTAGGACAATTCTAGTTGAAATAATCCTCTGCCTCCTTCAGATCTGGGCACATACAGACAATCAACATCAGCTTTGGGATGATGCATGCAGTAGCAAGTGAGAAGCTTTCTCGTTTTGGCGTCCATTCACTTAATGTCAGCTATGGTCCATTTAAGGATGTTAAAGCTGTATTGCATCACAAGGACAGCCAAAGTGTTTATGGCTGATATTCTGTTTTTTGAATTAAGCTCAGTATTCAGTACCAGACATACACACCTGTAGTACTTCTTTCTTACTTTCTCCTACATTTGTGTATGTTTTATACCATCTCCTTCACTAATTACTAGGTACTTATAGGCTTCATCTTGTTCCAGTTCCCTAATATTTGTGACAAAGCTTAAATCTATTCAGGATGTTTCTGTAATTCTCCCTTTCTTGAATGTTACTTACCTACCATACCTATGTTGTCACTGAAACATTTTACACTATTGAGGAAACCCTTCAACTCATTATCCTCTTTGGCAAAGAGTTTGAGATCATCCATGTAGAGTGGTTGATTGAATATTTTGTTTAGTTTGTAACCATAGATGCTGTTGTTTAGTTCATGCATGAGGGGTGACAGGGAATCTCCTTGAAAGATTCATGTCAGATATTCAGACGGTTAGAGATTGCAGTGCCTCTGGCGTGATTTAGGTATAGTGTGGTGTTCCACATTCCCACGCTGTGCTTAAGGACATTTACTACCACAGGGGAGACTTTGTACATTTCTGAAGTCTTAAGAATCCAAGAGTGTGGTACACTATCAAAGGCTTTACAATAATCAATCCATGCTGCGCTAAGATTTCTACATCGTCTCCTGTAATTTTCCAGGATCATTTTGTTTATCAGAAGTTGATCTTTGCAGCCATATGAACCTCTCCTGCATCCCTTCTATTCCAGTGGAAGAATGTTATTTGCTTCAAAAAAAGAGTAAGTATGGTTCATTAGGACAGACATGATCAATTTATATGGGGTGGAGAGACATGTTATAATTTTTCAGATTATCTGTTTCACTAGTTTTTGGCATGAGATATGTAATACCTTCAGTGATCCATTCCAGGATTTCATTGGGATTATTTACAAGCATTACAAG